CTTTAAAAATGACCACTGCGGTTTTGTTAAGATAATTGTCAGATAGTTGGAAGATTTCTGGCCACATTGGGGACCACTGAAAGTTCACACAATACCCTCCTTCTAGAACTCCTTGAGTTTGTTTTGACTCACAACGCTTTTCTTTTTGATAATCAATACTACTTGCAGCAACAGGGCACAGCAATGGGCACGAAGTGTGCACCTTCCCACGCCAATTTATATCTGGGCGGCTGGGAACATGAGCTATGGGACAGAGATGACTTATCTATGTACCTGTGCCACATACTATCCTGGCACGGTACATAGATGATATCCTATTGTTCTGGACGGGAAGTGAGGAATTATTAAAAGACTTTGTGGACATCTTGAACTTCAATACCTACAATTTGAGATTCACGATGACCAGGGATCCAAATAGATTGCCATTCCTCAATATCCTGGTGTGTAAGGATAGCGGGGGGACTCTATATATCAGTTTATATAGGAAAGACACAGCAGGCAATGCCATTTTAGAGGCAAGTAGTGCTCATCCTCAGAGCCTGAAAAACAGCATCCCTTACAGTCAGTATCTGAGAATCAGAAGAAACTGCACTGTTGATGCTGACTTTGAGAGGGAGGCACAGAATCTGAGGGTGAGACTAAGAGCCAGGGGATATACAAACAAAATCCTAAAAAGGTCATATCAACGAGCCAAGGGGGGATCTACAGGTTTTGGTGCTGATTATAAATACAAACAAAACACCAACGCCATATAGAAATCCAAATTGCATGAAAAAGAAAACCCCCTGGTTAGATTAATTCTGACCTTTAATAGTCAACATAATGAAATATCAAACATTTTGGATAAACACTGGCATTGCTTGACGAAGGATGTCAGAATCTCTAAATTCCTGAACGCCAAACCCTCCATCACATACCGGCGCTGCCCGTCCCTAAAAGATAAACTCACTAGTAGTGTAATTGTCAGATTACCTACATTTTCAAAAAGTCGCCTTACCTTACAACATAGAAAAAGCGCTAAACAAAAAAAAAACTTGTTAGAGTTACAACTACCTTTTCCACACATAATAAATCATTGATCTTGCCGCTTTAGTAGTATAACGATCAGTAAAATCTACCTATTTGTTGGAAAGAAAATCACATAATGCCATTAAGCTTTTTATAAAGTAATTATGAAAGCATATTTTAATTGGTTATATTTGTATGCATGAACACCTCTAGAATGTAATTCACTGAGCATAGTGGATAAGATACCACACCGAGCTCCAAACAAATAAAACGCAGCATGCCATAATTCCTCTAGTCAAACATAAATGTACTGTGAAATATAATTGGGAGTCTGCTGGAGAGACAAACCCTGCAAGCTAAGTGAGTAGGAGACTGCGCCTTTCTTTCCTGAGTTATTTGCAATGCTAGACTTGAGTGGAAAAAAAAATAAAGGGGCAAAGGGCACCTCACTGATAAATTTAAATTTTCTAATGTTTAGTCTTCTCTGTCATGCTGACATCTGTGCCCTTGTCCTCCACTCTCCAATCTTTTGCCGTATCACAAACTGAATGAAAAGGAGCCTCATACAAATGCTGGGTGCTCAAGGTTGCATGGTTCTGCGGCTGCAGAAAACACCAGGTAGCAATCAATTAAAATGTCCTTGGCAAAGGCTAGAATGTTGCAAAGGCTAGAATGTTCAGTGATTCTTCTTTTATTAAATAAATAAATAAAACACCAACATTTATTTTGGGGCTATGAATGACAAGGACATTTTTTCTAGAGGTAAATCTGTCATTATTTCCATTGCTAATATACCCCAATGGCTGATCTGCCTCACACTGCATATAAATGAGGCACCTCACAATTGGAATAAAAAAGAAATACACGCACAAAGTTTTCTTACAGACTTTGGCTGCCAAGTTCTTTTTAGATCCTGCACACATCAACTATAACTATATGTGGCAGTAAAAAGATACTTCAGCACAGCAGATCAATCAGTTGATTAAGTAAGCAATCTAATTCCGCAGATTCGATTTATCTGAAAACATAGTTACTGTTGGGGCTTTTCAGTTTCTTTTAGTCTGTCATAACACAAGATGACTAGTTATAATTGTATCATTTTTAAAACTACAGTTACATTTAATTCTCTTTGTTTTGTTGTTGTGGTTACATTTTGTAGGATTTCCTCGCTAAAAGGCTGTGGCCAGTAAAGGGCAATACAAGGTTAAAAAATACAATGATTTTTTTTAAATTGTGTTTTTTTTTTAATTGTTAGCCTGTACTAAAAAAATCTTAGCAGGGTATTTCCTGAAGAGGAAAGGTGGGTAAATAACTGTATCTCTTATTGTCCATTCACAGAACTCATTATATTCTGTTCATCATGGTCACGGGGAGAGGGGGTGGATAAATAACTGGGTCTTCCATTGTCCATTTTCAGAACACCATGTATTCTGTTTACTGCAAATGGCCATAGGGAGAGGAAGGGTGGATAAATAACTGGATCTCCCATTGTTCATTCACAGAACACCTTGAATTCTGTTCACTGTGAATAGTCATGGGCAGAGGTAGGATGGGTAAATAATTGGAATTCATGTTGTCCATTCACAGAACTTCATGTTTTTTGTGGTAAAAAAAAGCTCTTAGAAGCAGACTGCCTGCATCCAAGAGCATGCATCTACATCTATACGGATGTGCAAGTTCGGATTTGCACGTAGCCGCATGCAGCCGTGTCCTGTCATTGGGTTGTACAGGTGGTTACATGCACCAGCTATCCATGAAAGGTGTCTGTTTCTACACCATGTGAATGAGCCTTTAACGTGCAGTGCGCTTGATTTATTGTATTTTGATTAACACTCTGATAATTTTAGCACAGCAGCTAAAAAGGGGGGTGTTCTAAGCACAGGATTTAACAGAATTAAAGTTCAACTTCTTGGCTCTGCATACAGGAACATAAAAGCAATCTTGCAGGTCTGATCCAGCAACACTTGACCTTAATCATGTCACTCAGATTGTATCGAATCCAGTGGGATCAAACTGACAGCCAGGCAACTACCATTTTTACTACCATTTTCTCTCATAGGTCTCTTTTAATAAATCTACAGGCTGGTGGACGCAAAAGGTTCACCCCCTGAGCACATGTCCATGTGTGCACTAGAAAATATATGCAAAATTCTGTTCTACAGCACACAGTAAAATCCCAGAGTGCGTATTGTAAATAGTTTTGTTTAATATTATGTTATTCAATAGTATGGGTTTAATGAATTCTGCTCTGCAGAGAGTTTTTATCTAAAAGACATTCTGCACATTTTTTGCTGAAAAAAAATGTCCTCAATTTTCTACAACTTGCCTACTTCCTTATTTTTAATAGAGGGGAACTTAAGAAGAGGGTTGTATATTTATCTATTTTGGTATATCAATCTTTTTCCAAGTCTACTTCTCTTCATTTTGTTTATTTTTTCATTACAACTCAGGCTAATGTCAGACGGGCCGCTAGAGACAAATCGCCAGTGGCAGGATCACTAAAGAGGTTGCCTGCCTGTCCCTATGGGCAAATGCAGCGGGTTGTCATTCTGTTGCTGACCTGATTACCGCTGAATCTCAATCGATAGCGATGAGTGCGACATTTTGCAGCCTCAGCTACAAAGGGTGCGATTACATAGGAATTAACAGGCAGCCTCTTAGCGATCCAGCTGCTGGAGATTTAAATAAATCAGTGGCAGCATCGCTGGCGATAGAGTCATCTGTGTGATCTTTACAAATATTCCCCCCAGGGTAATGAATATTGATTGTTTTGTGTCATGTAGGTTTATACAGGGCTTCACAAATGTTTCCCCTAGGCTTGCATTTTCCTTTTCGTGAGAATATATTTGTTAGCAGCAAACTTCTCCTGACTGACTTTAGCTTGGTAGAACAAATGAGAAAGCATGATGAATGTTCTGTGTCCAGGGAATGTATCCACCGTGTTCCCAACACTGTTATGACATAAAGTAGGATATATGATTATAATGAGTGCTGTACATTCAGCTCAGATGGATTATTCACAGTGGGGAAGAGTCTACAAATTAGATGTCCTCTTAAAACCAAGCTCTTGTTCTTATATCCAGCACACTTTACCCCAGTGTCCAATTTTATATCTAGATGTCTGCTGTCCAAACAGCCCTCATCTTATTAAAGGGGATGTGTGGTGATTTTATATAGTTTTACTCTTTAGTTTTTGTGTTAGCTATAAAATATATATTTTTTCAATATTTGTGCTTTTGTTTTATTTAGGTAAAAACCACATGTGAATACTTCTTACACAAACAGTATACAGCCAGTTGTGCCCATATGGTCCTGTCATCTACCATCATTAATATATATGGTATAGCTATGTTCACTGTTGGTACCCAGTCATATGCTTGCATATGGCTGGATGATTGGCATAAACACAACTTTGTTTTATTTGCTAAAGAAAGTGAACATTTACTTTACAAAATGATTATTCGATACTCCTTTGGTAAATCAACCCTACTAGTTTGTTTATTTAAACACATACCTACATCGACACAAGGTGTCCTTAAAGCAAACAGTCATAATATAAAAAATCTCCAAAGTCCTAAGTACCATCGAGCGTCTATGCATATCTTTTAGCACTGCTCTCTACCTCTTAGATAGCTGCTGCCATTGCTAGAAAAAAATCTAAATTATTCTGGGTATGAAGAAGGAAGTGATATATCAAACTAATTGCCAGGCCCCAACATTGTCGATTGGGATAGGGGTTTGTGACATTCAGTGTGCAATTGTCAAAAATGTTAGGCAATGTTATTGTTGGCTGGTGATTGGCAGTGATTTTGCAGGGGCAGTGGGGGGAGTCAATGTGGCAGGTGAGTGACCACAACGGTAAGTATAGACCGGATGGTACGTACAACAGAGTGGAGAGATGTGTTGGGATTTTTTATATTTAGACAGGTTTGATTCGAGATTCGAGTACATTTTGAAATATTTGACAACATGTGACTATTTACAAAGAGTACCTGAAGGAGAAGGCTGTCCTTTTACTACGCCATTTTTAGTTTTTTCTTCAAAGTTCATAACTTCCTTATAGATGAGCTCTACAAAATAAATTTACAAACAAGTCAAGAAAACACCATTAAGTCTAGTGTGGGTTATCTTCATTGTTCTGCAGTGTAAACAAGATGGCTGTATTATGTCTGCAAATACCTGATAATAGTGCAGTATTAACAACTATCCCTAGCACACATTTCTACTGTCATATCTAATGCTATTTTTGGCAAGTCCATATTACACCAATAAAACATACAAACCCTATTAGTATGAAGAATAACATACAGCTATTGTAACCCCTTTCCTACAGCAAGTGAATATTATCATACCTTTCCATTCTTCAATTGTATGTTCCCTTTCATCCAGCTGTTTGTCATAGATTTGAGGAGGAGGCTGAAAATGCAAAATAAACAGAAACAATATGACCAGCTTGGTATAGTTAACCTGACTTGACAATATAATCGATTGCAACAAGCAATATTTTGTAGCTTTCTGGCTATAGGAGCATAAGTTGATAAATGAAGTACAACACTAAGAACATAAAAAAGAACATTAAAAAAGTATACCATTATCTTTTAGAAGTTACATTCAAATTGCCATACTAGGACAGATTTACTAAAAGAGAGTCTCAACTCAAAAAAAGTGACTATTCAATTCAATTACCCAATCATGCAAAAAGCATCTGCACATGTTTAGGTATTCAGCATGGGCAGGATTTTTTTTTTCATATGACTGGATAATGCGAGCAGAATTGTTTTTATTTTTACGTAACTGGATAATTAAAGTGAATATCCACATCATTGTTTTAGTAAAGAGTCTCCACTCCTTTAGTAAATCAGCCTCATGATGTGAAACATAGACTTTTACTTAAAGTGCAACTGAAGCCAAAACGTTTTGTAACTTTTATATAGAATGTAGAGGAATTAGAACAACGGTGAGGTTTTTATTGCTGCCTGTGTCCCTGTTAAGGAAAGGCAAGCTCTCTATTTGTCCTAGTGACCATTATCACTGAAAATTAAGGTAAAAGAAAATCCCAAATTTTGGGTTGTCACTAGAACAGGAATAGATGGGAAATCTTCCAATGGCAACATTAGTTCTGGGGACCCTGCTGACCACCAGAGATTGGAACGATTTCCAATTCCTTCCTGTTGTGGCAATCAGATGGAAAGTAAAGGGAAATCTCCCCAAAGGAACACAGACGTAAAAAAAAAAAAAAAAGACAGACAGGGTTATAATCCTCCTTTATTCTACCCAAAACAAAAAAACTAAAACTTAAACTGTACATTTTGTTTAATAAGGTAGAACTCACTTGCCTGTTCCTGGTAAACTAAAAATGGATTAGAGATAAGTAAATAATTTTTCTTCCAATGGCAACATTAGTTCTGGGGACCCTGCTGACCACCAGAGATTGGAACGATTTCCAATTCCTTCCTGTTGTGGCAATCAGATGGAAAGTAAAGGGAAATCTCCCCAAAGGAACACAGACGTAAAAAAAAAAAAAAAAGACAGACAGGGTTATAATCCTCCTTTATTCTACCCAAAACAAAAAAACTAAAACTTAAACTGTACATTTTGTTTAATAAGGTAGAACTCACTTGCCTGTTCCTGGTAAACTAAAAATGGATTAGAGATAAGTAAATAATTTGCATGTAACTAATACTACATAAATCAGACTTACAGATGAGCTTAAAGTATAACTGATTAGTTACACTTATTTTGTACCCCCTCCCCTTCCCATTGTGTCTCACTCACTATAGCAGGAGAAGGAAAACTTTGGCCCCCCCCAGCTGTGGTGACATTACAAATCCCATCATGCATCTGCCTCATGGAAGTCATGCCGGTGGCTGCCAGAGTCTTGCAATGCCTAATGGAGTTTGTAGTTGCACCACAGCTGGCGAGCCAGAGTTTGCCTACCCCTGAAATATAGCATGGTCTAAGTAGTAGTCCTACCTTTACTACTATTAATAGTCACAGTACCAGTTATAAGAGATGAAGTACATGATTTTCTACTTATAAATGTGGAGAAGGATAAAAATAGAAATTCTTTAATACATCATGATGTACCACAATTCATGCAACATAGCATATGGACACAATTTTAAATCCAATTATGGGATGAAACTCTTCAATAACAAGGCATTCTTAGATATGTTTTCATTACATGCCTGTTTTTCTACATTTATCATGAAATCATTTTCATTTCACTAAACTCTGAAAAGGGACAGCATATTGTATGTGGAAAATCTAATATTAATACATTAGCTGTACAGCATCCACACGCAGCCTATTTACTAACGCTGTAAAAAGTTAGATCAATGCTTCATTTCCTAAATAATCATTGATAAGTGACTTAAACCAATTACATAATGATACAGGGAAAGTAATGATAATGATGGCTTGTTTATACAGAATTGATGTAAATCACGTGGCTATGAAAAAAAAAATATTGTATCTGTAAGGCAGTTAATATGTCATCTCTAAATCTTTGGAGCCAGGTGAAAAAAAAATGATGGATGGATCAATGTGAGGCTCACAAAAAGCTGTTAATCTGTCTGCACTTCTTTTTGGTTAGTATTACTTATCTCTATTTACACAGAACAATGGTGAAACCTCTGAAGTGCTATATTTTAAAGTACAGGAAATACAGGCGATGTTTGGAACCGAGGCACCTTTGAATACAAAATCATAGGCTGTGACAATACAGTCTATATTTTATCTCCCTCAGCACCATGGAGAGCAACTGAAAAGAAGCTTTATCCTCTATGGTAGAAGAATAAATACCTCTCTTGTGATTGACAAGTACAGGGGACATTAGTAAGTCATCATACTGTAGAGTTTTTTAATTGCAATACAGAGTGTTGATCTTAGAATACCAAGCTTTATATGGCGTTATAAAAAACGGGAAAATACTAATTGATATATAACACTCAAGATATATAATGCTTCCTATAAAAGCTTTCTCACCACTTATTTCACTGCTGATAAAATCACAGAAAAAGACAGACTTTCCCTCACTTTTCTACTGGTAATGCTGCCAGTGAAGCTCCGGTGTTAAACAGTCTAGAACAGCAAGCTCTGAGTCAATATAGCTCCTAGGTGTGCTGTTTATTGATATAAATGCTCTTTAGTGCTCCATGTTCTCAGATGACGTGTCCAAGATTCCATTGCTTGCTCGCTTGAATATTTCCAAGAAGCAGATTACCTTGATTAAGCTAAAAGCATAATGTTCTACAAATTAGATATTATATTGCTTGGCAATACAATAATCACAGTTCTACATGGCTAGTATGTGTCTAGTTGCTTAAAGAAGCACCAATTGACCATAGGAAACATTTCCATTTGTATTATTATTCAAATCATTATTGAATAGAGCAAATCAACAAGTTTTCTTTACTGCAGGCATCCATATATGCAAATACTAAACTTCCTTTCGCTCCCCCACTGCTCTGTTCAGCTGCTACGTGTATGTTATGAGTCATTGGAGTCATAGCTCACACAAGGCTATGGAATGCTCATTGGCCCAGCATTGTCACATTAAGGGGGTTATTCACAAAGCTGCCGAAGGATCTAGCCGTAGCTTTGGCTGATCCTTCGGCTAGCTTCGGCCCCAGGACCCCTTTGGTTCAGTAGAACCGAAGGGCTGCTGTACGGGCTATTCACTATAGCCCGTACAGCTCCCGAAGTTGGCCGAGGGGCTCAGTCGAGCCGAAGGCATATGCCTCGGCTCGACTGAACCGAGGTGAAAGTCGAAGCTGGCTGAACGGCCGGCCATTGGCTGGCCGATAGCCTGCTACTGACAGCTGGGTGGAGCCAGCCGTCATCACACGGCTGGCTCCAGCCACTTGCAGAGACAGATCAGCGTCCCCTGGTTACCAGGTAACCGGGGACGCCGATCTGTCATTACTCTCCCGGACGCTCTGGGAGTCTCCTGCTATTAGATAGCGGCTCCTGGCCGCCCGGGAGAGTAAACCTTTCCCTGCTCTGTTTTTTTTTCCTGATATGGGGCCGCGGTTAGAAAAAGAAAAAAAACCAGCATAGGAATGCATAGCTAGATTCCTATTGGCTATTTCACTTTGCAATAGCTAATAGTAAACTAGCTATTGCACCCGCCCACTGCTGCTGTCAATCAGCAGAGGGGAACTGAAGTTCTCCATCAGGTCCTCTTCTAGTGATTGACAGCAGCAGAGGGCAGGTGCAATAGCCAGCTTGCTATTGGCTATTGCAAAGTGAAATAGCCAATAGGAATCTAGCTATGCATTCCTATGCTGGTTTTTTTTCTACTTTTTTAACTGGTTTTCTATTCTGCTCGGCACCACAGAGGTACCGAGCAGAATTGCTGAGCCGAAAGCCGCATTCGACTTTTCACTCACTGCTGTTCGGCATCTATGAGAATAGACCGAAAAGCAGCGAGTAGCCTGCTGGAGGTTCGGCTCAGCCGATCCACATGTTGGATCGGCTGAGTCGAACTCGCTCTTCACTTCGGCTCAGCCGAAGGGAGCCGATGTACATCCGCTTTCAGCCAATGTACG